TCTGTTCACTTTACTAGAACTCCTGTTTTTGTTGTTGTTGTTGTTGTTCCTGAGCTCATCTTCCTACCTGCCTGCAAAACTGGAGGGATGTCAAGTCCTGCTGTGGTGAAAATCAGGATGTCAAGTCCTGCTGTGGTGAAAATCAGGTATTTCTCCGTGGAACTCTGTGGAAATCAGAAGTGGTAGGCTAAGATGTCCTAACTTAGCCAGGAGGCATGAAGGAGCTACAAATCCTACTCCCAAAGAGGAAGCTAAGAAATGTACTAATCTGATAAATAGAGTAATTCACTGTGAGGCTCGTATTGATAAGAGAATCTGCATTGAGAAAAATACAGTAAGACCTGAAACCACCTTCTCATCTTAAGATTCCCACTGAAAAGCCCAAAAATTCGAAAGAGAGAGAGACATTCAGAGAACCACTAAGTGAGGCAGAAGCAAARGTATTAGATGAGACAGTCTTTCTGCTGAAGTAAAAAGAAAATAAAATTGATCAACAGCTGATGCTTTTGATAGTGCATAGGAGAATATTTGTCCAAGGTAGAGACAATCATCAAGATTTACAGTGGTCTCTATCTGGCAGATCTTTGTAAAGCCAAAGATGGGCWTTTTTTGCTGATGGCACACACAGTTAGTTCCATGCATCTGAGAGGMAAACCTGAGACCATATTTCAATTCCTTCAGTTAAATACTCAAAGAAGTATTCACAGAAGCAACTTTTGTGGAACAATTAATGTGATTAAAAATAAGAAGAGTCTAGAAAATGAAAAAAAGCAGGAGAGCTGGCTGACATTGCACAATCTGTCACAAGGAGACCAGACAGAAGACCTCCCCAGTGTTATACGTGTGCTGYTCAGTGATGGCATGTCTCCTTTCAGAGGGCAGAGACCAAAGATACCYTCAGGCACTGCTGTAAATCTCTCACCTTAACCCATCACATGGATTCCTTTGCAATCAGACTAACATTGTTCTGCAGGTAGAAAACATCGTGTAAAACCTTTGATCAGTCYTTTCTCCACCTAAGGGCAGCAGACAAATCAGATGGCTTCTCCTGATAGCAGACAGGAATTTTTTGTTTCTTTCAAGACAATCAGAAGTTCATTACTAGAGTTGTCCAAATTAAAGTTCCAGATTGATCACCTCCATTTCCCCCCTCCCAATAATCTTTGGATCATACAGCAAATAATTTGAAGTGGCAGTTTAATTGCTAAATTATGTTTAGCTAAATTTGGCCTTGGGAACTCTTTTTGAAATGAAAATTTGTCTTATTTATACATTTATTTCAAAAAGTTATGTTTTGACTTTTTCAAATTGTTTCAAGTTTTTCAGCTTTTTTTTTTTTTTTGTAAAGAAGAATTCATCCCCAAAATATTTATTTTCTTCGTTGTTGCTCATTTTCTGATGACAGACTGAGGATTTGGTTCATTTTCACTGTCAGTTAGATAGAAAAGCATCTAACCAAAGACAAGTAACAGTTCATCATTTATGCCGAAATTCTCTTACATTTGCTAGACCTACCGTTGGAGCTAATTGTTAACACTATGGATGATGTGTAAATGCCCTGATAAGGAATCTGCTGAAACAACATTGGGAATCRCTGCACGTGCTGTTAACAGGGATATGGAAATATTCAGCAGCTCTCAAAAAAATGGAAACAAAGACACAAAAGCAATCTGGAATTAGGCTGAGGAACTCAAGATCTTTTCTGGGAGAGAGAATACAAAGGAGTGAGGAGTGGGACAGAGGGATATGAAAGAACAGCTAAATCTTTTGATCCATCACGTATACTCTTGGGTGTGTGAAAACAGCTTTTAAGAACACTTTGCCTTATCTAAACTTGTCTTTTATAACACTGTCTTCTACACAAGGACGTGAAGTCTATGCAAGCTACCTAGGAGACCCTCAGAAGCTGTCAGGGCTCCAATAATAATTTTTACCAGCAAAACACAGTAAAGACTGACATGAATTCAACTCAATTTATTCACTCCCAGTCACTCCATTGCCAAAGAACTATGGGCAATTTGTAACGAATTCAAAGACCATCAAATGTTGTTTGAACAGAAGAGGAGAATTATAAAATAGACTAAAGGTCTGGAACTTTAAGACAGACTAGAACAAAACTCTGTGAGGACTGATTTATATCAGAAAACTCTCTACCTGATCAATAAAGACACCAAAGAAAAGGTCAATTCTGTGTGAGAGCTTTTCACAGCAGCAGGAACTAGTGAGAAGGAAACTGGGCAGCATCACAGCAGAAGCATTGCAGGGAGCAGGCATCCTGGTCAGAAGATTCAGAATAAATGAACCACAGTTGAACTGAAACCAGCTAGTATTTTTGCTGACAGATCTTCAAATAAGACATTTTCCAAACATTCATTCATGTTGTATTGCTTTTTTTTTTTTTAACATCTATCAAATCTTTCTCACTTTTGCAAAGTACTGTCTTCCAGAAACAGGAATGTGCACAGGATGACTTGAGTCTCAACAAAATTCCCTGCATGCTTTTCTTCTATACATATGAAGGCACCTCCTCATTGTGAAGCTCCACTGTGGTTCATAAAGATTCAAAGACAATTTCTGTGGCACTTTTTCTCTTGGAGGTACCGGCTGTATTACATCTAGTAACGCCATGTCCTATCCTTGCAATATATAGGAAAGTTAGCTACCTTTTTGATGAAGGACAACAGGAATACTGGCAATCCTTCCCCTACTGAATACCATAATTAGGAAAACAAACAAATATTGAATATAAATCACAGTCACAAAACTAAGTTGATGGTTAGGAATTTCAGGACTAGCAGTAGCTTTCCTGCATGTGCACACACATCCTTGCTTTATTGCACTGTTTGCCAGCTGTAACATTTGCCACCATGTTCGTGATAACAGCAATCTCCTCTGTCATTGCTAGTGTTAGTATATGGAGAAGGCAACATGCACCAAACGGTCTCATGAATCGTTGATTATATCCAGCATAAAATGAGCACCACCTTCTCTGGCAATCCAGTTGCTTTACCCTTTCCTGATGAYAGGAGCTAATCAGCCACTCAGGAGGATGTAGTAACTTCCCAACAAGGTTCTACAAAGATGCTAAGGATACTCACCTTCCTAACTTGTTGTTAAAACTCATTGTTTCACTGTCTGATCTCTCCTTTTCTTCCTCAACTGGTCAGTTTGCTCTGGACAGTTTTGTTAGTAACTCTGTATATAAATCTGGCAATATCTTGTGCTTTGTCTGAGATACTTATTTGACTTTTCTATTTTTTTTTTCTCTCAACATTAATGCAAGTACATTACACACAAGTTCCATTCAGTGGGATCTTTTTGGTATGTTTCAGCATACCAAGGCATCTGGAATCAGAGACATCTACTTTGTCCCTGTGTTGAGTGAGAAGTCCAGGGATCCATTRTAGGCCTGCAGATCACAGCTGCACAACTTTGCTTCAGCACAAGGTAGATTTTCCTCTCTGTGAAACAAAATATGAAAAAAGCACTTAGCATTGCTTAGTGCAAATATTTGTATGCACAGAGGACACAGTCTCTGCAGCAGTGTCTGCCCAGTCTTTGTTCTTTCAGGGTGACATGTGCTACCCTTCTTTTTATTATCTGGTGTTCAAGGCACTTCACCCACAAATTGTCAGTGTAAAAAGAGAAAAAAATTCCCCTATGCTGCCCCCTGTGGGGTAGTCAAAGTTTGTCCCTGGTTTCAGTCAATAGCCTAAAATAGTGTGTGATTAGGAACTTTAATCTGCTAAAATTAAGAGTAATCCCCACCAATGCAATTCAAATTTCCATGGAATTCCTACCTTTGACTGGGTTTGATTTGGTGACAAACAAATAGAAAGCTTTCTAGTCCTCTACTGATCTTTGAATCATTCACCAACTACGATACATAATTTCTAATGCTAGATCGTTTTAAAACATCTTATTTGCTATGAAAAGATGCAGTAAAAGTCTAAGTTATTATTTTCAGATTTTAAGCTTACTGTGAGGGTATCCGAATACTTGCAGGGTCTAGAGGTAGAATCTGTGTAATCTGTAATTCAGTTTCCTTCTCCACAAATGGAAAATTGACTCAGACTCAAAACAGGAGCATATGAAGAACCAGACTATTCACCAGGTACAGGATATTCAGCAAATGGTTCACCAGACAGTGCTTTGATACCCTGAAAGGTTAAGTTTCAGTGGCTGAAATTTATTACCTACTAACACGATTTGCTGTGTCTACTCACTGCTTCCTACGCCTGCTTCCTGGAGCAGGGAGTTCCATTGAGCAGTGGACATGTTAATCATTTCCAAAATAACTAAATGCTATTTATGCTGCTTTGTCTTTCTTCTCCTCTCTGCCTTCTGGTTATAAAGTCTGCCACAACAGCTGGCCTGCTAGGAATTGTGGAATCCCAATAACATCAAGAAGCACAAAGGAAGAAACAAGAATTCTGCCCTCTACACATAAGCAGAGATCATGAAGGATGTCTTCTCTAGGCTAAGAAGGAGAAATACAGATCTCACCAAGCACTGCCCAAAATAAGTTCCGAAATAAGTTAATACTGTCACAGTCTTGTGTGCTCTCTGTGACATACAGCAAAAAGACACCAAGACACCTATCAGCTGAAATCCCAGCACTATAATACTCTGGAAAGCCATCCAGGAACAAGGTGGTATCAGCTGAACACTTGAGGAAAGCTCTAGCAAGAAAAAGTGCATGGCAACAGAAACATGAGGCTGATCCAGGTGTAGGGAGCAGCATGAATGACACTATGAAGACAAGAGATGCTGTAGATCACAGTGACAGCCACAGCACCAGGGGATGCCCAGAGGCTAAAGCGAGTGTTAGACTCCAAAAAAAAAAAAAAAAAAAAAAAAAAAGTTTGCTTCCTGCTTGGATTCCCATTGGCTAGGCAAGTTTTTCAGCCCTAGCAGAGCAGGCTCTGCGGGTATATTTAGCGAGAGTGCTCCTGCACTAGCAGAGACGATAAGCACTGATCCTCTGTCACAGTTGGAGAATGGATCTGAAGGCACTCCTCATCTTCACTGCATTGCTGCTACAGGCTACCTTGGCTTTTCCTATTCAGGTGAGAGCAGTTCCATGAAACCAGGCTCTTTCCTCTATTTGATCGGTCTTTCCTGGAGAGCAGCTGTGGCRTCCCAGTTTAATTTTAATTTCCTACAAGACAAATATTAGCAATATAATGCCATGTGTCCTAATGCCAGTCTAATAATTTAGTGCCTCTCTTTGGCCTGATTTTGCTGTTATTGCTTCTGCATTTAAGATCTATGGAAAATAATACCTTATACCTATTGATTTTTTCAGGAGAACTATGAGAATAGCACAACAAGTAAGTAGCATTAATACTATATTTTAAGAACAACCAGTAATTGCTGACTGTGAATCAAATTAATTTATGTAGTGAGAATTTTGGAGCCTGGTGATTATCTAAGGCAAATAAGGCAAATCCAGTGATCTTTTCAACATTACTAACTGAAAGTGCAACTATAGATATTTGATTGCCAGGAATAAATATGCCATGAAAGTGTACRTATTAGAGGTTTAGTGAAATTATGGCTTTCTGCTTGCAATTTCTAACACATAAGCTACTTACTGAGACATTTATTTTCTTCACTTTTATTAAGTGCCCAGTTTCCCAAAATCAAGAGATATTCAAAGCAGTGCTTCAGTTTTCAGTGGAGGACAGGAAAAACTTATGCTTGGAAGACAGAGAGATTCCCGTGTTCTGTAAATAGTGTAGTGTAGTGTAGTAGCTCCTGAAGTGAACAAATTGCTAGTGAGTGGCGTGACACTCATCATGTGGTCACACATAATTGTACTGCTGCGAGCTGCATAACTGGTACAYGGGGCTGGGAAGGAAGCTGGGGGACAGAGGACTGAAAGCAGAGCTGCAGCAATTGAAGCAGCTGCACATAACCAGTGTTATATGCTTTGTGATAGACAGACAAAATTTTGATAGGTCAATTTAAGTGATATAGAGAAAATGAGATATCTGAATCAAAGTTGTGTGTTTAAGGATCACTCCATCCATAATGCTGGGATGTAGAACGTTGAAATGRAGCTTTGACCTCATTCTGTCACAAAATGTAGAAAAATATGAAAGTTGTTGGAATGCAACAAAAGAATTGATTTTCATCAATGGATGTCACATAAATATAAATAACCATGTTAATATGTGGGTGACGACTTCAGAATGTGTGAAGGCCCCAACTCTCAGGCTTTTTGAAGGAGACCATGTTCCTGACTGTTACTGGAGTTAGAGTTACTGAGTGTAGATGTGCTTCATACCTTTTGGCCATGGTTTGTCAGATTTAGATGTGCTTGCACAGGTTTAAAAAACAAATTTTATTAAGACATTTTGACTTGCAATAGAGTGTGGATGTTACCAAAAGACTTTGCTACGCATTTGCATCCTTGCCCTAGTTGTTACAGCTGTAACTGTGAAAGGGATATCTGGCATCAGAGAAAGCTTTGCAATGTGCTAGGATAGAAAACTAGAAGTACAGTCAAAAACAGTAACTGAGCAGCTTTCTCAAAACATAAGACAGAGGAGGTCTTTGAAGAAAGTCAATGACAATAAATCTAGGTAGACCTTAACGACAGCAAGAAACTGTCAGGTCAGCGACGAARTATTGTGAAAGGAAAAGGCATTAGGATTTGGTTGACATTTTCAGAACAAGCAAGGGACTAATGAAAACTGACCAGATCTTCTTTTGTGCTGTCTTTTATGACATAGAAGCAAAGGGAGGCTTTGACATTACGGCTTAGTACGTTTAGAGCCAGCAGAGAGACATCTCTTGAGTTCAGAGCTGTAGTTGCTGAAACTCCAGTTTGCAGGATTACTGAGTAAAGATATATAATGAATTTGAATTCTTCTTATTATTAATCATTGTTGTGACTTTTGATACATTTTTGGTATTTATAGTTCAAGGAAAATTTGATCTGTGTTTTCAAAAATGTATCATGCCAGATGTTCACATAATTAGGCGCATGGCTGCTGCTTTCTGTAGTGTCTCAGATGAGCTTTACAAAAGTGCCAGGAGGGTCTAAGTTTCTAGAAATCTGGAGCCTAATTTTCACTGACTTGACCAATCAATAATCTTTCCTCTTGTGTGCATGGATTCTGAATTCAGTCAAACTATTTCAAAAAAGTGCTTCCCTGCAGAAATTTTTATGTGACATGGACCTCTCTGATGCAGCTGCTGGGAACTGACKTAACTTTTCTATAACAAACTGTCATTACAAGAGTTTCATTATCATGTAACTGAAATAATAGTCTGTAAAGACAAATCTAAAGCCTCTTTGGCTGAGTGGAGCCACACAATTTTATTGCACGTTCTTGATAACTGCTGAATGTAAGGACATACGCTTAGGCAATAACCACTTGGGTCAATGGAAACTGCAAAAAGGGAAAGATTCTACAGGCTGTGAAAATTCTTGGTACACTCTGCATCTATTGAACACACATGAATAAAATGATGAGGAACACGGATAGCTTTAGAAATATCAAAATTATTTTGCATAAGGAAAAAGAAATAAAATGCTTAAATTTTAACATGGACGATTGCACTTACTGACAAACTTAAATGGGCTGCCAGGAAGGCTTGCAGCATCTCCATCATACTTAAGAACAGGTTRAACACACTATGATCAGGAATAACACATAAAACTAGAAAGGAGACAAACTGGATGACTATTGCATGTCCTTTCTAAACCTATGCTTTTCTGCATAAAAAAACCACTGCATAGTGAGTTTAGGAATCAAAATATTAAAATATTCTCAAAAACTTTTAAGTTTACACCAGTGTGTCATATGAACAAGTATATTCTTCCTACAGAAGTCCTGATACCTTCAACAAAACATTCAGTTCTTTAAAAAATGAGTATTTTTGTTATTAGATATCTGCTTGGAAGTGTATATATCGGATTAGATTTTCACTTTTGCATTAGCAGCCCAGAACTGGCATTTGCCCAGAATCAGAAGATCCCACACTAGCAAGGCATTCTTAGGATTCAAAATTGCTCAAAACTACTGAAAGGTACAGAGTGACTTTGAGATTTTTTTGTTGAGATTTTTGGCAATTTTTATCTTACTCTTTGACGCTGTGAAACCAGAGATGACTGTTGAACTGGTTGGCCTGCATGTGTGCCTGAGCAATCCAGGAACGAAGCATGTTTTTATCCCTAAATTCTTTTGACACTTTCAACACTACAACTTATAAAACACTTTGCTGATTGTTAGAAAGTAAATGACCAGAATTCTGTCCTTGCACACAAACTGCTAGAATTGATCTAAGTATAAATTCAGTTCCTGTTCCTAGTTAGCATGCCCTGCTCCCTCTTCAAGCAAGGGGACCTACCAAAGGCATCCCCATGACTGAAGAGGCCTGAATTGTTGAATAGTGTGAAGCTGTATTTCAGAATCTAATTTGCCTCTTTTGCTTGTTTTTTTCTTCCTTACTCTTTGCAGCAACAGAACCTACTCAGGTAAGGACAGCTCAAGTCAACTCTTTTGTTCATTTGGGTTCCTGATCACTTGGGGTCTTAGCATGGTGAATAGTGAGGCTGGGGCCAATCTTCTTCACCCTTAGCTCCATTTCTGAAAAAAGGATCTCAGACTAAAGGTGTAAGAGTAGGCAATTTCCATTATTATTTCATTTGTTGTCCCACACTGTGCAGTCTGGGAGGATTTTGCTTTCTCTGAAGTCGTACAGAAAACTTTAAACTGTTTTTGCTTTATGAAAGGTAAGAGCAGAATGACTATCTCTTTTGTTATAGGCATGACCCCCTAAATGGGTATCCCTGTAACCCCCARTTCTCTGTATGGTGGTACCGGCCCCAGCTGTATGCTGAGGTGATACTGGGAGGATTTCATTAGCTATTTCAGTAATCTTGCATTCATACCAGCAGGAATATAAATACAGCTAGAAGATGGAAACCTAGATCTTGCTTCAAATTTCCTGAGTCACCTGTACTGAATTCCTTTAGAGTAACCTTATTTGCCAACAGTTTTCAAAGAAAAATATCAGCCACACTGTGGTATTTTTTTACATATGGTAAAGTAAACAAGAGCTCAGGACTGCAATGGTTAAACCATGGAAGCCTGGACACTTATGATCCTAATATACCCTCTTTGTATGTTGTATTATTTGATATTTATAGTATAACACAAATTACTATATTATAATAATGAATCCTCCTTGCAGGTTACTCTTACTACAGAAGAGGATATATATGGTATGTACGACTCCAACTAAATTTAAGTATTTGCCCTTATTTACATCTGAATTTTAAGTACTTCAGCCCTCTGAAGTAGCAGTAAGTGCAAAGGCCAAATGCACTTCCATTTTTTGATGTTAAGACCCATGGCATAATACTTAGATTCATGGATTCAGCTGAGTTCTGCTTAGTGTAAGGCCTCAGAATCCCTGATGCTGGGATTAACTGGCCCATGGAGCTCTGATTTCATTGGTTTCAAGGGTTTAGAAAGGGTCATGGTGTCCAGCATTAAGCACCAGGAAAGCTATCTTTCTAGATTTGCTCCGGGTGTCTTATGTTGGGGGTTCAGGCATGCAAAAGGGAAGCTCTGCTGTCTAAGGATATGAGGGTTCCTGGAGAAAAAAAAAAAATGCCAGTGGGCCTCTTGAGCTGGAAGAACAAGACCTGTAATAGCCAAATGTCCAGTTCTAAAATGCAGTGATTAAAAAAGAGAGAGGATGRGGAAGAGAAAGCCTTTTGGGACTAGATTAATACCAAAATAATCACAGCTGTTGGGAGGTTCACAAGACTGCACCTGAGCAAACACATACATGACTTAATGTCATGCCCACCCATAAATACTCTGTGCCAGTTTCATGTGCACCATTGTAATCAAGACCGGATTTAAGGGTATTCCTGGAAATTCATCTGGGTTAAAAAATTAAGATTTCTATTTTCTTTGGAATAAGAAAGTGATATTTTTCCATCTCCGTGCAGAATCAGATCCAACTGCAGAGACAGACTCCGAGGAGGAAGTTATTTTTAACAGAATTCTGAAAGTTAACAAAGGTAACAGCACCAAAGCCCTGCTTATTCTGCCTCTATGTTTTATGCCTTCTTGTGGGGAGGACCAATGTCTTACCACAGACTATACAAATATTTTTCCTAATGCATCTACACACAAAGCCCACTTAGAGACAGGCCACTGGAACTACTTAATCTAGGCAGTTTACTGAAGTCCCAGGGCATCTCAGATTTATTGTGTTGATACTGAAGATGATCCCGAATCTAGAGGAAACTGAATTATGCAGGCAGCTTCTTCAGCTTTAATTCAAGGATCTTTGTACTTTTTTGTCTTCAAAAACAGACCATGGAATGTTTGTATATTTATATTTATCTTTATTTTTTATTGAATGCAAGTAGCACTGGAGCAGTCATCACRTGGTTTTTTAATAGGTACTCCTAAATTTAAGCTATGGTTAATACCAAGATTCCAGTTTCAGACCTCTCCTTCGCCTTTCCTTGAATCTTACAAATATTTTGGTTTCRTTCTATCAACATGTCTTTGTCACCTTTTCCCTTGCTCAGTAACAGAAGATGCTTTACTCCTTTCACTATAAACAGATACCAAATATTCCTATAGTTTTTTATATACCACCTTTTAATTCTGTCCCTCTGTGCTCTTGCCTCTTGATTTTCCTTATTGTCATCTCCCATCCTTGATCAACACCTTTCCTGAGCAAATATTCGATGACACTCACTCAGTGTTGCACAATGGGTGAAGCAGCTCAACCAGAGCTTGCATTACAGCATCCCATTCTCCTGCACCTGCATTCAGCCCTTGTCTGTCTTGCCTAAACCCTGCCTAAAGAGGTGAAGATGGAACCTCCTACTTTTCTATGAGCTAAGCTATGAGCTTGCAGCAGTGAAGAAGATAGGGGAGCAATGTCCATTTAGCCCAATAGATGGTTTCTCGCTCTAGCCAGCAGCAGATGCTTAGGCAAGAATTGAAAAAACAGGACAAACAGAAGGTGACAATGGATCAGCACATCCATGGCTCAGACACTTCTGTGCTTTCTTTCTCACACAGACAGCTCTCAGCTCTTGCAGGAAGGTGACATAGTTCCACAGAGGAGCCGCAGTGCCATCAACTGTCGAAATCGCCATTGCAATTGGCCCCAGTCCAGTGATGGGATTGTCCGTGTTCCCTACGTTTTGGATCCTACTTATGGTAGCTATATACTCTGATAATAATTTTATTTATCATTATTATTATTTGTAAAGAATTTTTTCCAATTGACTTAAGGTAGAAATCAATTTCCATTAGCTGCACAAATAGTTGATGAAGTTGTATTGCACAGGCACAGATGAATTGTAAATTACATAGGTCTGAATAAAAAAAAAAAAAAAAAAGATAAAATTTCATTGAGAGGTTTGCATCCATAATACCATAATATTTTGCGTCTGGTTTCTTGGAGAAGGGATGGTCATTCTCTCTAATAGTATCTTCTAATCTTCTAGAACCTCTGCCTTTACACAGCTATTGTGTGTGGTTGGAATGGACTATTTTTCTTCAGTAAAAGAGCTTCCGCAGCTGTCACCAAATGGTCAATGTGCAGCTATATCAGCAACCTCTGCAATAAGACAAGTAGTTTAGAAATCAGAATCTTATCTGAATCAGTCCTGGACAAAGTCATGGATAAAGAGAGCCTTGTGCCAGATTATTTATATTGCAAATGAAATTCACTACTGAGCAAAAAGCCTTAAAGAAACTAGTCTAATGTTTCTGCTCCTCCTTTAAACATTCTTGAGTATATATGAGATTTTAATGCCACAAGTCATTGTTCTTATGCGACCCCCAAATTATCCCCCTTCTTTTCCCCAGAGGAGCACCACATAAAGGCAATTCATGATGCCATGGCAGAATTTGAAACACTGACTTGTATTAACTTTGTGCAGCGCAAGACAGAACGTGACTATCTCAGCATCAGATCTGCTGATGGGTGAGTTGAATAAGTAAATGTGTTATTTCTATGTTGGTTTTCATGTGTTCACTACACCTGTCCCATGTAATCCTAGAGAGGAGAGAGGAGAGGATTTAGACAAGTAACTTCATGCTTTATCGGGGTGCAAAGCATCCTGCTGAAGATCAAACCCTTACATTAGGGACTCACCAAAGGCACTAAAGTGACTCACAGTTCATGAGAAACCAGCAGTAAGGCAGAAAGAATATCGTTAGCTATATTTGCCGTGTGGTATAATTCACATTTAGCACAACGTGTAACAGGCTGTTGTGGTTTTAATTTGCATAGGAGGCTTCGATTTCAACTTAGGATGAGCAGTTCTCTGAATGAAGCATATCTTTGGCTGGCAAGGTCAGAACTAGAAATTTTAATAGACTTTTTCAGTACTTCCTTAGCTTAAAAGTGTCATTCAGGTTAGCTCTGTAAGTGATACAGGATTCAGTAATTTGAGAAAAATGTTTAATTCTAAGGAGTTAACATCATTGTGTACCAAAGGCTAGCATAAAGGAATCTCCATGCTATTGAAAAGTTTCTAAGGAGGCCTTAGTGCTGTGCAGGATGTTCATTGATTTTCTACACAATAGCCACTTTTGTCCTTCTGTGGACTGTGATTGCTACAGACTGCAAACAAAAATCCATGTGTCTTTTCTCATTGATGTTCCATGTCTTTCCCAGCTGCTGGTCCAACTATGGAAAAGTAGGTGGTGGACAGACTGTCTCTGTGATGAAAGGAGGCTGCATGTGGAAAGGAATAATTCAACACGAGCTGGACCATGCCCTGGGATTTTTGCATGAACATTCTCGGAGTGACAGGGATAAATATGTAAAGATTATGTGGGAGTACATCAGCATGGGTAAGTACCTTTGAACTCCTCAATGTATAAAGGACAGTAAATATGACCTATTGTTTCCAGCTCTTCCTTCTTCTCTAAGAGGATGTGGATAAAAATATGCTTTAAGTATGATATCATATATTACAGCTGACAGAGCAGACTTCAGGAAATTTGAAAACTCCAATAACCTGGGTCTTCCATATGACTATTCCTCAGTAATGCACTACGGCCCGTAAGTAACAGTATGGCAATGTCTCCATGGAATTGAAATCTTGCTTAAGAATTAGCTTCCGTAATAACTCTCTTTTATTAGCTTCCTCATTTCCATGAAAAAAACATTGTGAGTCAGTTCAAGGCATTCCCCAAGATTACTATATTATTATTTAGCTTTCCATTAAGCTTTCTATTTTCTATTTTAAATGTTCTACAAAGCTGAACTACCTTTTCCATAATTTCTGCAGATCTTTTCAGGACTTAATAATCTTAACATCTCCATAGCTTCCGTGACAAGAAGGTTATTATTCCCCAAATATTTTTGAGCATAGGTAGAACTTAGAGGGTTGCTTAACTTTTCTTTAAAGTTGAGTTTTCATTCTATCTTTAATAAATTCTTAAAAAGAATAGTAGACAAACATGACTGAAGAACTGCGCCATAAACTTAGCACTGCAAACAGGATGGTTGGGAGACACTTTTGTATCATGGGGCAGCAGTTTGCTTTGAAGCTTCTGTTCCACATATACAAGAGACATCCGCATTCCCATTTGCTGGAATGTGCATTGAGATCTGGCCAGCAGAACAACTGATCTGTCAGATGGAATCTAAACAACTTATATGCGATTGTTCTGCTCACTGTAAAGCATGTAGACTATGCCATTAAATGTTGGAAAAAGTCATTTTCCTTAAAGGACCTTAAATTTTCCTTTTTCTTTTTTTTTGCAGACATACATTCACTAATACCACTGGGAAGGCAACTATTGTACCAATTCCTGATGAATCTGTACATATTGGACAGAGACAAGGACTGAGTAACTTGGATGTGGCCAAAATCAACAAGCTCTACAACTGTAGTAAGTACTTCAAAGCTCTCCCTTCATCCTCTATTCAGTTATTCCATGGAGGTGTTCAGGCATCTCTGCAGACACTGACATCACCCACAGACTGTGAGTCTACTCTTCCAATTCCATGGTACCCATTAGGGTCATTTCAGGAGGTAATGCAAAGGTGAAGCTGGAGGCACGTTGTGATAATGAGAAAATGCTTTCTGTGTCCAGATTAAATAAAACACTTTAATTGTTGGTGAAGATAGGTGCAACTCCACTGGCCTAACTTGTTATTCTGTTGTTTGCTTCACTGGAGTCATTGGGTTTCTTAGAGCTTAAGAGGAAACTAAAAAAACCCCAAAGTCAGACATCTCAGTCCCTCACTGCAATTTAAGGACAGAGCCAAACCAAAATAGCTATAGGTTCCCCTGCTGGAACAATTTCAAGRTGCCTTGCCCAAATCTAGCCTAATAGTTTTCAAATGTTTCAGCTRTCATTCTAATTGTGTTTAAATTTTCCACTCCTTAAAATTCTACTAGAATAAATTCTCCAGTAAAAGCAAAGAAATTTGTTCAGTCAAAGGGAAAAAAAAACATTATTTTTTTTTCCGTAGAGCAGAGAAGAGGCCAAGTCCTCTTTCCAAGCTCAGAATTTAACTTATTGTAGTCATCATAATTTTTTTTGATTGTTCTAACATAAATTGATTTTGCTGTCCTAGTGCAAATCCGTATGTCTACTGACCAGTGGCAGTGAAGTATAAACTCTTAAACAATTTTTATATTGAAAAGGAAGAGTAGAAAGGGTACTTCAACCTGAAAATCTTTGCTGTACTGTGGAATTACCAAAGAAGCCAATGCTTTTTTTCCATGTGCTATTTTACTGTCCATTTTGATGCAGATGCTTATGATTATGTGAAAATTAGTACCTCCTTCATTTTTAACCAAGACATGCAAATACTCTGAAATGAATGCTGTCAGATCAGGAAATCAAGACCATTACATTCTGAGGAGTGCACAGCTGCGGATGAGTGGAAATATTTTTAATTTTGGTGCTGAGGCAAATATTTTTTCTCTCTCTCAGGTCGCTGCAGCACTATTCTTGATACACCAACTGGGTCACTGAAATCTGCCAATCACCCAAGAAATTACTCAGATAACACAAACTGTGTCTGGCTCATCCGAACCCGATCCAGAAGGGTAATTACATGTCAATAATGGTCTTGGGATGTGGATGAACTGATGTCTATGTAAGCGATTTGCACTGTATCTGCACACCAGTTGCCAGATCTTTTTCATGAGAGAAATTTTAGACTAGTATCTATTTCTTCTTCATGTCCTTAAGCCAGGTATGGGCACAGACAACTGCACAGTTGCAATTCTGAAAAGCCTCCATACATTGAGCTTCAGGTTTGCAAAATCAAGACAAAGCAGTCTGAGCATGGGAGCATTCAGTCACAGGCCCATTATATCTGAACCCTGCAAATTCAGGGGATGAGAGGCAAGGCTGGGTAAGCAGTTCCAATTCTGACTTAGTTTCAGTTTGGATTCTGTGTGTTTTAAAGGACACTCCATGAAAGAAGTTATATGCATGTATTTTGAAGGCTTGTTTCCTCTTCTTTTACAGATTTCCTTGCACTTTCAAGCCTTCGACCTGCAGACAACCAGAGGATGTCAGGGTGATTACATTAAAGTTTATGATGGAGCTAGCAAATCTTCTGCAGTTCTAATGGACAAAACGTGTGGATCAAAGATACCCAATGACATAGTTGCTTCTGGCAATCTTATGCTCATAGAGTTTGTCACTGATGGTGTTGATACAGCTTCTGGTTTCCAAGCCATCTTTACTTCTGGTAGGTCTGAGAAAAGGGAGAGTGTCAGAGAAAGAAAAACAATGTTTATCAAAGCAACATGTGTTCTACCTTCCTTTTTGCATACGATTTGGGAAAAAACATTGTTTGAGGAGGTAGCTCTAGAAGAAGAGCCATCACTTCCCAACTAACAGCTCAGTCTTGCATTGATAACATTTATTCTTTCCAGAAGATAGGCCACGCTCATCACACATAGTGTCAACCAGGTGATTCCCAGGTTCCACTGTTAACCTTGCCACTCACATGTATGACATTCCAAAACATGTGCAAGGATGTGATCAGTTTAATATTATTGCTATCGTTAGCAGCAATATTAGCAGTAAATTAGACATTCTTGTATTGTGAAAGAGAATAAGTCATAATGTAACATTTAAATATGCTCCTCTGTAAAAGAGGCAGTTTTTAAATCAGATAAGTCAGAGGGCAAGAATGAAGCAAGTCACCCAGTGAAGCAAGGGTGAAGCAGGTCACCCAGCCACGTGACAAGAAGACAGGCAGTAGGTCCACGGTCAGAATCCTTGGAATTTATCCACACACTTTTCCTCAATTCCATTCAGTAACATGAAAACCAAGGCTACAACAACACAATTAAGCTACTGAAGGCTGAACTAGAAAATGTCTGTGAGCATATCTGAAGCCTAAAGAAAGAGTGCAGTTATTCAGCTTGGTTTAGTATGAAAGAAAGATCAGCTAAATCACCTCACCTTGAATTTGCCATGGGCTAAGAATGTGCACAATGAGCATTTGTGCAGATCCATTGAAATACAGTAACTTATGGTACATCAAAACTGTAACAGCAATATTGCACTGTATCAATGTAACACCTATTTCTGTAAATGGTAGGTATAAAGGGAAGAAAAATAAGAAAACTGCCCATGCCAGTGATTTGTAATCTACTGCAAAATGATCCCAGTTTTCAAACTGTGATTTAATGATTACGTATTTGAAAGATGATACTGTTTGTTCAGACAGCACTGCAAGCTAAATATTCTCTCATTTTTCTTACAGTAAGGGTGCAAAGAAGACCTAACAGACACATCTGATTTAATGGAGAAGAGCCTATTCTGTGAATATTGAAATTATGCTTTTCCTACTTTGCTCCTTTCCTGGCTTGGAACAGTATGAAATTCAATTCTATTTTGAATCGAAGTCTACAACTTACAAAGAAAGTTTGCTCCCCAAGCCATATAAATTTATGAATTCTGTACATCCTGTGTGCCCCCTTTTATCTACACAGTTAAGTTATTACCTCTTTCTATTTAACAATTTAATAAAAGCTTCATATAAAAAAAAAGTGTTTCCATTTCTCTTTTCCAATAGTCCCTTCCAGCTATAAACATAATGTCATCTTACATTTTACCCCGCTCTATTCAGCCATAAGTGTGTCTCAAGCATTTCATGTATCTTTGTCATGGGTTTAGTTACTTGGTTGACCATACCAGCTCCAAAACTCAAAATTTCATTTTATGTTCTTCAGAGTATGAGCGCAAAAAGAAGGTCCTAAATACAGTCTCCCTTCCAAGCCTAACTTTTAAGCTTCCAAAAATGACATTTCCCTTAATGATCCTATAATATCTGTAAACCACAAAAAAGATGGACATGACAGACAAAAGTACTGCCAAAAAGGAATGATACTTCATACTGTAGTTTTCTGTGTAGGAGTCAGGGGACAGCTAAGGTGCTTTTATATTCAAAAGCCATTTATTAGTCCACAGGTATGCTGAAAACTATCACAAGAAAAGAGGTGGACTAGAGACTGTTGCAAGAATTCATGTTTACTTTGTGGCCTGGAAAAAAGATTTCATGCCTGGCCAGAAGCTAAACATTCCTTTTTTGATCTTACTTGCAGTTAAAGAAACTTTACATTGTAGTTGGCATCTTCATTCACAGTGATAAATGGCTGTGCTAATGCTTCTGAACAAAACAATTTTGAATCTACTTTATAACTGACATTTCTTCAGGTCTTCAGATACCCCAAGCATCACTCAGGTATTGCTATCCACAGATCATATGAAGAGTTTTCTTTTGGAAATTGTTAAAACTGTAGTTCTCGAGAAACGGTTGAGCTTCCTGAACCCTTCCAGAACAGCATGGAGGACAGAATACTGCAAACCCACTATATACCAGGGGTTGGGAAGGGCYAATTTCTTATTAATATTGATGTAACTAATGAGAACTTCCTCCCTTATGGAAATACAAAATGGAAAAAAAATATTAATGTTTAGGAAGCTCTTGGGATATGCAATTTTAATTTATTTCACATTTTTTTTACTTAGGAACTTAGCATTTTAAAGCAGTTTAGAAATGTATGTCTCTTATTTTCTATCAAAAAACAAACTGCTGCTTAAAGAAAACATATATATACACATATGTATACGAAAGAATTTGGAGAGTTTCCAAAGAAATCTGCCTGTTTTTTGGCTCATCAGCTTTTGTGCAAGCCTCACAGAGCAAAGATTTTTCTCTCATGTCAGAAATCACCTCTGACTTTGACTAGCATGGGCATGTGCAACTTGCCCGCAGGTGGCATCTTACCTCTCAAGATTTTAGAGGGGTAAAGAGATCTGACTTGCTAACAGAAGTGTTTGCAAGGAGGCAAAGGTATGGCCTACACTGAAGCTTCAGAGCACAGGAAGATGCTTCCCAGCATTCATTTGCCAAATTGAAATGTTTCAAGATTAGCATTTGTTGAAGCGGTTCAAAAGGTTCAAAGAAAAGATTGCTGTTTGCTTTTCCACTGGAAATTAGTGGTTTGCCTTGTCTAAGAATTAAGAGTAGGATTAGGCAACCAGATTTCTTTGAAAATCTGTCCAAAAGTCTATTTGCCTTTCTTTAGGAGTCTAAAAATAACAGTTCGATTTTTATGATCAAAATGAGGATTTCTTTCCTTAACATGGTTTAATGCACACATGCACCACTGCCTGTAGCAGGTATCACTGTCTTCATGTTCCAAGTTTATTTGCAAATACATTGTATTTATTGTCCCCAAATATGAAGAAATGGCTTTGTACTGAGTGAGAAAAATACTTTGTGCTATCAAGAAGCTCAGGCTGGATACTCAATGCAGTCATCTGCTTGTAGACTCTTTATACCAGTTGTAGTCACTGAACTTGAAACCAGTACGTTTGACAGGTGAGGCTAAGAGATACACCACGCTTTTTCACATCTCCTACAAACTTCGAAACTTCAGCGTTTAACTGGACACCTGGTATAAGCAATAAATCTGTAAGGAATCATAACAAATAGAACCTGCCATAACTCTGGGTATGTGTAGCAGTGTGGAATGAAATGCACCAGCCAGGCTCTTTATAAAGAAATTACTATCTCACCACAGTGTCATAGCCACTTTGATTGACAAAAGTTCACAACATACAGCTCTAAGACCTGAGAAGAGGTGCCTCAGGAGATCATTTCAACAATTTTGCCTTCATAGGAGTGATAATTAAGCTACAGAGTGTTTGCAATTTTCTCAAGGTTGGCAACAGTCGTCTCCTGCCTTCCCACCTTAAAAACAACTGCTGACTGTTACTCAAGCTTGCAAAACTTGAGATCCTGTGTGGAGCAATGCAGTAATAAGACCAGTATCTTCAGGTGGTTCATTTGCAAACAGAATGTCTTCTGGGAATTGTTGCTGGGAATGGTAAATTGTCCTCTGGCAAACGTGACCCACTCAATATCAGTATCTCCCACACAATAGCTAGTGGCTGCAATTCATTCCAGCCCATTCTTGGGAGTCTATCACAGTCATCTTAATCAATGATTTCCTAAGATAAATCAACATACTTTTCAAGAAGCATAGTGCTAATTGCCAAATAAAAAAATAAAACAACTCTTTGCCTCGAGCTGAATGCCTGGTGAAGAAAGAAGGAAAATAATTTGTGTAACTGAAGTTATGACCCAAGTTTGCAAAATAGAAACTGAATTTCCCCTAAAGGCTGCCATAACAAGAATGATTCTCTGAGAGGACATTTCAGTTCTTGCTTTCAAGAGGAATTTCTGTTGGAATTGAGGTTTTAAATGCAGCAAACCCAGGCGATGCAGCTTTTTCCTGTGCATAGKGAAGAGATATGGCTAGTTTAAAATACGACTTTGAGGTTTCATTTTTTCCTTGCTCATACAGGATACATCTACACTGTTTACATAAATGTAAACTTGGGCTGCCCACTGTAAGCTCACTGAATGCAAACTGCCAACCACCAACTACCTGGCTCCACTTGGGACTAAAACTCCATTTGCTTGGGACAGCCATCGGAGCATTAAACACTTAATAGCTGCTCAGCTTCAAGTGTGGGAAGAGTGTGTTTGCTCCTGTGTGCTGAAGATAACTTATATATGTCCATGCAATAATGGCATTGCAATTACAGCTGATTGAGGTTTATATTTAAAGCAAGGAGGCTTAGTGATTTCATAAAACCAGTTTTGAGGAAAAAATCTAAGAGTACTGGCAGTGACTGAGAATGTATTAAAACTGTGAACATCTTTGAATAGATAAAACATCAGATAATACAGCAAATTTATCTTCAGAGAGATCATCTTTCTGGAGAGAAGTCTGTGCAGGGCAAGGAAGAATTTCATCAAGGAGGGCAGCCTCATAAATCACGAGTGGGATTTTCCAAGACCCCTATGTCGGTGTATGCACACTCTACTTACTGTGGGACATCACAAGGTGTCCCCCTTGACCAGCCCCAGCCTAGAGTCTTCCTGAGAATGTCCCGCTCTCAGCAGGTCTGAGTACCAGGCTGGCTGTGGGGCTTCCCTGTAGATCTGTATTTCAGAGGTGCTGCCTCACAACATGAAACTGGTGCTTCTGCTTCTGGTACAAGCCCTGGATCAAAGCTACTTTGGGCGTAGAGAGATCTTCCTTTACATACATAAAGCGTCCCAAGGACAGGGCAGGGCAACTCCTTTAGGATACCAGATCTCTTCTCCAAACTACATCTGCAGCAATCCAGCCTGGTCAGTCCTTGTGGAGAAATTCTTAACAGAAATACAAAGACTGGTAGGAATGCAGTAGGAATGGGAACGTGTGCATGTGAGAGAGAGTGCTGGGAGAAGCAGTAGAACAAGATCAGCTTGTCTTGATAATGAAGGACATCATTCCCATGACACTGCACCCAGGAGGAACATGGAAGACTGCATTGTTTATGCTTTATTGCATGACCACAGGGCCTGCACTCTGCTCAGGCCACAGCACAGATGATTTGTCAGTGGGAGATTCTGCACCCTCATTCCAATGAGTTCATTGCATACCACACGAGCCACCCCAAAAGGAAAACAGCCACATCCCTCCAACAAGCAATGACCTCTCTGAGCATGAGGGACTCTTCTATGGCGAGGCACTGGACTTTACTTGCTTGTTTCAGAGGTGGTTTCCTGTGCTGATCTGAACTCTTCTTCACTAGGCACTGAACAAATATGGGATAATAACACTGCCAYTCCCAATCCCTTTTTGATTTTTGCATTCAGCATGGTGGGAAGCATGCACACTGCTGGGGCTGCATAGCACCCTGCCCTGCTGCCACTGCCTTCAGTGATCACCCAGGGAGCCCGGGACCCCATAACCGTCTCCTCTGTTCCTTTCTGCCTAGCAGCTCTTTGACCACCTCACTAACTGTTCTCACTCTCCCCTGCTGCCCCGGACTTCTTGAGCTCACAGYAGGATCTTCACAGAGTGGGGATGATGCAAGCAGGTAAGTCCTGGATGTCTTGGACTAAGTACAGGACTAAGTACAGGAAACACTGCCCCCATGCACACTCAGGTAGGGGGGCAGAAAGAGCTAGCTGGAACTGGGCAAGATCAGACTGGCAAGGACGCCCAGCCAGACATGAATAGCCAAGGTCCCTTGAGCTCAGCTGGTCAAAGGCCCCAGAACGTCACCGAGATGAGGCCAGGATCATTGGCAAGATTCCCCAAAGCAGACACATCCAGATGCCCAGAGCGGAAAGCTGGGCTGAGCCCACCCTAAACAGCAGCTGGAGTGCACCAGCACAAATACTATTTGCAACTTTGCTTGCAGTTAAGTTCTGTAACTCACTGTCTTTGCTAAATTAACTTTTGTTTTTGCATAGAACTAGTTTCTGTGGAAAGCATTACTTTATTGTAAACCCGTCTTTCTTAAGCGGCTGCCACTTGGAGGGCTTCTGCCGGTGACCGTTACTCGCGCGTCTACTCGCCGCCCCGCCCCGCCCCTCAACGACCGTTACTTGCGCGCACCTCGGCGCGCGCCCCCGCCCGCCCCCGGAATGACCGTTACTCGCGAGCACCTCGCCCGTTAACGGTTGCCTACCGTCCGGTGGTCGTGGGCTGTTAAATTCTCCCCCTTCACCGGCGCCTGGGAGCAGGAGAGGAGGTGGCAGCGGCGTTTGCAAGTTCAAAGAACAGTTTCCAGGTAAAAGGAGTTAGGGATTTCAGCGAAAGCCTAGCTCCTGTCACTTGTTAAACGTCCCTTAGGTCGTTTTGCAAGTGTGCTCTCTGAGTCTTCAAACGAAGGGGCTACACTTCAGAGAAACCTCATCTTCAGGCTGTTACTTCCCTTTCTTAGTAACTTTTACCACAATTTACAGGATTCAGACTTCAAAATACAAATGTGTGTTGCTTTTGGAGCTGCAACTGGAGCCAGCTGCTTTGGCTGATGTTAGCACTGACCATGGCAAGGTTTTCATGCCCAAATTGTTAAGAAAAGCAGTATCAAATAAGAACTCTTAAAGCTACTTGCTAAATCCCAGCTAGAAACATTGATTTATTGTATGAAGTTTCTCTTTTGTTTGGAAAGTATTTTTCTCTATGAATCTCTTGTGAACAATTTTTGTGGATAGTTGTTATTCAAACTTTAGCATTAATTCATTGTTGGTTAGACTTTTACAGTTTCTGTACCTTAATTGAATGTAGCTTACCAATACGTTTCCTATTAAGTGTGAATAATCAAATTGAAATATATATTTGGGGGAATATTTGATCTTTCATATTTGAATTAATTTTTGCAAGTGAAAGTAAAGCTTCATTGTTTTCAATTCAAATGAATAGTAGGGTGTCTTTATTTTTTTTTTCCATTCTACACTCATCTCTAGTAAATGCTGGTCTCGATTCTACCTGCAGTTTCTACAGCTTCTGTTGATTCTTCATTTCATTTTTCTAGCATATTGAGAAAAGTCCATATGATCTGGGAACCAGTTGTCACAATAGACAACAGAGATGTCTTCATTCCAGTGAAGTCGATTCATCAGTGCAGCCATTCAGGAACTTCTGATGGAAAGATGCCCTTGAGATGTAAGATTGTTTTTGTGTTCTTTCTAATGATAACAGTCTATTAAACCTAAGAATGTATTGCTTGAAGTGATGCTTTAATGTATATGTTTATACAGTTTCAGATAATAGGCTTTTTTTTTTTTTTTTCAGTAGTTTCAGTTTTTAAGACTGTAGATCATCTTCTGGTTCCAAAGTCAGTGAGAGTTAAATACTTAACAGTTTAATAAACACTCGATGCCTACTAAAAGAAATATATATTGCAATATGTTGATAAGATACCATGTTTACAACACAAAAATAAAAAGTAATATGGCTTGAGTTTCTTTGTTAATAACTTGTGCAATGTGCGTAGTAACAATGGCATGTAGAAAAAGCAGTGAAAGACCTACAGCAGGTTTGGTCACATGGCTGAATAGACCAGGGCACATGCACAAGCTCTTGGGCCCATCCTGCTGGAAAAATTGGGCATTGGTGATGTATGTTAGATTAATAAATAACTGCTGTGCATTTGTTTTGTTTTTGCTGAAAAAAAATACAGGTTTTCATCAGATGTGTCTGAATGTTAGCATCTGTRTACTGAAAACTATCCTGAGCTCTTTTATTTAGCCCTATGACATTAACGTTTAAATTTACTGAAAAGCATGTTTGTTTTAGTTGATTGCGAAAGCGGTAAATGATTACAGAGCTGGAACCACTTTTCAACTACAGATACTATTATTTGCATTTGAAAGTAGTGTTTTAAATAACCAATGCATGGTGTTATTTCACCAGTTGAAGAGCTGGGAAATCTACCTAACATGATGAAGCAAACTACCCTTGTCTGAAAAAAATTCTTTCCAACTCCAGACACTGGAGAGAGTTTTATTTTTCCCTGGACAGTTTTTCAAAACTATGTGGATAGTAAAAATATGACTGTTGGATTTTTAGAAGAAAATGATCACAGAATAGTAGGAGACTTTGAAAAATTGAATTAAGATTCTCCAAATGTATGGGCTCTGTGACCTGACTTGTATTGTGTTCCTGTTGATTCTGGTTAAAAAAAAATAATAATACCAAGCATAGAACAATTGTTTTTAGTTAAACAAAGCACTTTTAACATTCTGAGATTCTCCTAACTGTTCTGACTTTAGCAGATTCTGCAGAAGAGGGAGATACCTAACCCTGAACTTCATATTCTCAAACTTTGTCTAACAGGTATGTAAAGGGTTGAACAAAGAGTACTTTGTTACTAATTTATATAGGAAATAGAAAATATGGAGTTGCGTGAAGGGTGGCGTTGCAGCACACAAAGCATGGAAAAAAGAGGGGACTGGGAAACAGCACATGGGTAGAGGAGCAAGCTGAGCATCCTTGGACTAGAAGTGCAGTCAGTTGTCAATTGCCTAGAGACGTATCTGGTTTGCAATTAACTATGCTGTGGATTTAGAGATAACACAATGGACTCCGTGGAGAGCCAGCCTAGGGCTACAGAGTTGATTAGCATAGATGAGCTTAGATGCATTGCTATGCAAAGACAGCTATGAAATGACTGTGGCCACCTCAATAGTGCAGGCATTTTTAGGCTAAGCTGARAAGTCCAGATAGAATTCACCTAGTGATAGAGCTCAGCTTGCTTTGTGTAAATCCAACACAATTCATTATGTCCTGTAGTATCTAGAAACCCAGGGTCCTAAATATTTGCCACCATAGCTAGTGAAGATCTGATTGTGTACTAGTTCAATTAATTTCTTCAGCTATAATTCAATATCTTGAAGCAAAAATATCTCCCAAACATAGAGAAGTTAATGAACATAGTTTTAAGTAACTAGTGAGTACTACTTGGTAACTTTTTGGCAAGGACTTGGGTTAAATCTACTTCTTCAGAGTAATGTTTAACTATCCAGATCATTAAAGACAATATTTTCTTTCAGTCTCCTGTTTCCATCACTATCTGTTTTCCAATTTCTCTAACAAGTGAGATACACTATTTCACAGATAGTTATACTCTACTTTATAACCCTGTAATATCTCAAGAGCAGAAGGGCCTGTAGACAAAAAGAAATGAACATAATTTAATATGACTTTTAAAATGCCACAGTTACAATGCAGCTTGTAAAGTCTGTAACGGATGTGTTTTTTATATATGTATATAATATATATGTAGTTGAACGTAATGTAGTTTTCTGTAGTTTAGTTCTTGGAAAAGGCTGATCTTGATCGGCTGAAATTTGGAATCTGTGTTTACAGAGTTTCTATTTTAAGCCTGACTTCAAAAAATATCTGAAAAATGACATGTGTTCTAGACATTGTTAATAGTGGTAAACTGCTACAAATATTCCTCTGCCACAATATCAGCTGAGGCAACGAAACTTTTCAGTTCCTTTCAACTCCTTCTAACAGTATGCTTAGGAACAACTGATTATGTAGTAAGAAACTATGTGGGGTTATGCCAAGGATTGAAGAAAACTTATCATGATAATGATGGATAAGCCTGCTGCCTTCCAGCTGGCATTGTTTTTCAAGTTTCTGGGGAAGTCATTGACAACTGCAGYAGCAGCAGCAGTTTAAATCCACAGATTGGCAGAAATAGAGCCTGATTTCAATACAAACCTGTTCTAGCAATACTAAGGACAAGTTCGGTTTGTGAACCTTGCCGAGAGAAAGAATATTATAGAAATCAATTACATTTTATATGGTTCAGGTGGTTCTATATTGTACTTTGATGAATCTCTAGCAAGTTTGTGTATCAGCCACTGCAGAGAGCAGCCCAAGTCRCAGAGAAAGGTTGTTCTCAAGTCACAGAGAATGGTCTAGGATAAGAAAAAGCAGGAGAAAAGGGTTTTCACCAATATTGTGCTTAATTTTAACTGGTAGAGAATAACTGAATCACTTCTTTGGACACAAGTGACTGTTTATGGAGATCTTTTGCGTCCTTAGGGGTGATGGTAGAATGTTAGGGGAGGGTTAGACTTAAATTAATCATTTGGAAGCTCTAATGCCTGTATTCTCCATAAAGTAAGAAGGATTCTGATGTTTGTTATGATTCAAACTTTTGTTCAGAAAGTTGAAGGCTTCTGTGTCTAATGATTATATCAGAAAAATAAAGCTAGAAAATATAATTCATCATTAGTTGCTAATGTTTTTAGCTTCAAATACTTGTATAGCTAAAGTGTGTCACAACTGCAAGCTACTATTAAAAAATTAGGCTTCTGAGAAGCAAAACACAGTAACTAAATAAATCAAATCTGAAGATAAGAATTGCTTCCTAGACTTACTTTCAGTTCATGCAAAGAAAAAATCTTTTTCCCCCTGCATATTAAATATGTAAATATTTTCTCTTTTGTGAAAATGATCTTGCACAGATCATAGGAAAAAGAACTGTCAAAATATGACTGAGACATAGAAATCAACATGAAACTGAACTCTTTGAGTTAGAAACAAATCAATCTGTTGGATGCCAAAAATAAGTCAAACCTAGATGGAGCCAGTAGTTTATTTTTCTTTAATGCTGCTGTTCAGAATAGGATATATGGGACCTTAGCAACCAGTACTTTTACATGAAAGAAGTCTACAAGCTTTCTTAGTGTCTGCAGAAGCAGGAGTGTGATCTCTTTGACTTTTCCCTTAGAACTCGGGCATAGTGACATTATGTCTGAAACTCATATTAATCCTGATATTTGATTTCACTATTTTTCATTCAATAATACATCCCTGAAACACCTCTAAACAAACTGAGAAYGAAGTATTTCATGACTTTTCATCTAGTGTCTTTAGCTCACAGTGCTACATTTTATATTCCTGAAAGAGGGGTACTGAGTTCAATCAAACTCAAATTTTGTGTCAAATGAAGAAACAGTTCTTCATCTAATATCCTAGGAGTTTACATCTAATTCCATGATTATTTTATATGCTATTATATCCTATATATTCCATTCCCCTTTCTTTCCTCCCTATTAACTGCTCTGCCACGCAATCTCATATGTCCTTCGAGTTTTATCCATTTCTGTTGGATTCTTCACCTTTACCTTTGACTTCACATGACCATAGCCCTAAGTCCTCAGCCAACATACCCCATTGCTTGTGGTTTTGACAGTCCGAATTGCACCCGGTTGCAGACACCTTCAGTAACAAATAGACTCCTTTAGCCTCCRTATCTCCATCATATACTAGGTGTCTATTCCAGACAAATTTTGTCTCTTCCCTAACCTGGATTGTTTCTTTACTCTTTTTTATGTAATATATTTTCTTTAAAATATATGAATGGGATACAAGTTTGTGAGTGTRTGTAAGACTAATATCAAGCTGTGAACAGGATTTTTACTTGTTAAGAGGCAATAACACCTCCCTAAAGAGGAAAAGTTAAAATAAATTCACTTTATGATCAGGTTTACAAAACTTGAACAATGGTCTAAAAGTATTCTATTTTGTAGAATCAGAAATAAGCTCACGGACAGAAATAGAATAAAAAAATGGCAATTGTAATGAAATTGCCAAGTATGCATACAGCATCTGTTTGACTTGTTTGGCCTTTCACCTTGGATGCATTTGGCCTTTTGAAGTCCAAGTCAGGATGGCATAAAAACCAGACTAATTGGACTCTGATAAAAACTGTCCACAGGTGCTGTTGAATGGGCAATTTTCCAGAGATTCAGTTTGCCACAAACTCAGAAATAAAATGGGAAAATGCCATCAAGACAAACCCCTGCAGATGGCAGCAGTACTTTATATTTCAGCACCACCACACACTGCTTCATGTAAACTGAGCCAGAATTCCATACTGAAAATACTATTTTTCTTTTAAATAAACAACCTATTTATTTATTAATCCATATGTATGWTAATATATTGCACAGTAATATATAGATATTGATTATATTTAYAGTACTTAATTATTTTGAAGACTTTTACAGTGCTAGTAGTCAGCATGTTATTGATGAGTGTTTAAGGAGGAATAATTGTCCAGTATCAGAAGGTTGTTTTGTAGCCTTGTGGAATCCCTTCCAGGTCCCAGTGTAGGCAGCTGATACCCAGTTGATTTCCAATAATGCAGGTGTTTRTTTGTTTGTTTTCCAAAATATTTTACATCATTCAGGCTTGCAGCAGAGATTTGACCTAGGTTTTCCCTTAGTAGCCAATTCAACTGTTAAAACTGTGGCTGTTAAAAAAGTCACATTTTTAAAAATCCTTTTAAAGTTTTTTTTTTTTTTTTTAACCTAGTTAGAGCTGGATATCTAGGTTAGAACTCGTACCTAGTTCTAAAGACACTGTGCCAGAGTAATCAAATGGGACAATATACCGGATAGGATATCCCTGCTTATCTATTTTAATATGAAGTATAGGATTTTCTTCCTTTTACTAGCTTTGTTAAGTCAAGTCAAGAGCCCAGGCTCTTTCTTCTGTGTTCTTAAGAATTTCTCTTTTTTTTCCTGTTTTATTTCACCAATGCTAATTCATCTGTAATTTGTATTTTCCATGTTTACCTGTAGATTCTTTCTTCAGTGGCTAATACTCGTTTCTACTAAGATAAAAACAATGCAGAAGAATRATGATCAAATAGAACATTAAGCAGATAAATCCATTTTTGTAATTGCTTTCTTTTGTAGTAGTTCCTTTATATTTAAGGCAGAGTTTAGTACCCAATTATGTCCATGCTACACTTAAAAATTTTAGCGGTAAACTTTGTTCCTCTTCTATTTTTAAGTAACAAACAATAGGAGATAGTTTACTGGAAGCATAAGTGAAATATGAATTATGAACCTTTTGATTCTAAAGTGTAAATGTCTTTAGGGCAACATTGAAGCACAGGGATAAGACAGACCTGTTGGGCCGCTTAGAAGATCTGTTTCTTCAAGATTACAGATTTTTATCCACTGCTAAAATCTGCTCTAAATATAAATAGATTTTCTCTAGCTTAATTTGGACATGACAATTTAGTAGTGTTCTGTTTCCTGTCCTGTACTAATGCGTAATGCTACAGGGTGCTTTTATAGATTATTATGTTCAACAGTAGGAGAAATGATCCCTGTAAAGCATTTGGGATCCAACAAGATGCAAGTGCTATGTAAATTATTACCAGTTTTACTATTTAAAACACTATGAACTGATGAAGGAAACAAGGGAATGCCACTTACCTCTCAATATAATGTTAAGTTTGCTTTTGGTGGGAACATTTTGCTCACTGAACTCTTCATTTACTCCCAGTGGAAAATCAATCA